AGGGCGCGAAAACGCTGCCGGAAGCCCCAAAATGGCTGCGCACAGCGTTTTCGCGCCCTCCCCTTGCTTACCAAGGGTGCGAAAACGCTGCACCCCGGCCCCTTTCGGCTGTTCCGGTGGCCATTTTGGACCCGCCGTACAGCAGATTGTCGGGTTGCAAAGTGAAGGTCGGTAAGCGAGCAGCTTACCGCCCTTTGCTCTGCGATTTTCCGCCTATAAGGGCACCGTTTTGCGATCGCATTTGCGATCGCAAAAACGGCCTCGTAGAGCGAATTCATCGCTCTACGAGGTGCCCGTTCTGCGAGGCACCACTGTAGATAAATAGGGACCACCTCGGTGGGAAGGTAACAGTGTTCCGTGTCTAAGTCGCACTGGCGATGTGACCAAGGAAGATTGTCTTCGAACAAAACGCTGGCTCTATGGCTTGGAAACGGGGATGAGCACCGTCCCCTAGAGTCGAACACAACTGGACAAAAATTGTCAAGGGGAACCTTTACCTTATTTACCAAATAGTAAAGCTATCTTGTCATGTGACTTAAGTCTAAAATTATATCTCACATGACATTTCTGGCATATTTTTAAGCAATCTGCTGAACCCCAGTCTGAAATCTCTCTCCTTGAATGCAGATATAAATTTATGTTTCATATATCTGTCTTGAATGTTGTGTACCTAAAAACACTATAGGTTCTAAAAGACTTGCAACTGATTCACTTTATCAGAGACATAAAACCCACTACTGTACTATTTTTCTTCTTGGATTTTCATCCTTGCTGGCTGAAATTCTATTGAGTAAGTAGATTACACCTACAGAATGATGAGGCTGTCACCGGCAGATTATAACTTTTGGTCATTAAAGACTTCCTCCTTCTTTCCTGCAGTTGGTCTGATATGAGTAATCTCTTTCATCAGGTGGGAGCAATAGGATGGAGAGAGGAAGTCTTTATTGGAAATCTGCTCCAGTGGGTGATGTCACTGGCAGGGAAATTTTTTGGTAATTAAAGACTTCTCACTCATGTGCCATGGTTTCCACATGATGAAATGGGCTAGGATTACTTATAAATCAGACAAGCTACAGGAAGGGAGGAAGTTCTCAATGAAAATTGCCCTGTGGCAGTGATGTCATCCCCTCCCACAGGCGTAACTGATTCAACAGGATTTCAGCCATTGTATTTCTGTGTAGATGTACTTTTATTTTTTCAACATTAAAAGGTGGCAGTATCCAGTTAACACTATCATACCTGAATATCTTCTGCCTGAAGAAGAAGGATCAGACAATTATTCCTTCAGTCCCATGTGCATACTCAGCATCTGTTCCAGCATCAGATCATGTGATTCAATACATAACTGTCAGCTCATGTCTGTAGTGATTTCTTAACTTGAGGCTATTTGCCTCCAAAAGTTATACTGTTAATGTTGCACAAGAGGATATTTACCAGTGCAATAAAAATGTTTTTACCATGCATAGAGATGATAGTGCGATTAATGGTGTTAGATTTTATATTGTCTTTCATAGCTTCCATATGCCAAGTGTTTTTTAAGTTTATTTAATACAGATATGAAGATTAAGGATTTCAGTTCATAACTTCAGCCAAAGATTCTTTTTCTCAAGAGAATTATAACTTTTTCTAGATTGGAAATTTTAATGTTTTTGTAGAGAGAATCATGATTTCTCTTGCCTGTTTTTTGGGGGGGACCCAAAAAGCAAATAAACCCCCCAAGACCCATCGGAAATAGGGGGAGAAATACCAAAAAACAAACAACCCCCCCAAAGACCCATCACAGCACAGAAACATAACCTCCCCAGCCCAAAACCACACTGCAAAACCCATCCAAAATACTTTTTAAAAAGCAGAAAGTAGCGCCTTACCTTATTAGGCAGTCCGAAGCTTCCTCCAATCGTACTCACTCTAACCGTTGGGGTGAAAGAGCTACAAAGAAGCAGCCTCTTCACCTACCAACAGTTAGCAATTTGAATTTCCTGCCTTTTTTCCCTACCTTATTCCAGTTATAAGTGGAAGCTCTGGCCGCAAGTCGAAGCAAAATTTTGCAGGCGGAACTGGTCGTAACTCGAAATATTCATAGGTTGGGACATTCGTAAGTCGAGGCACCACTGTACTTTGGTAATCAGTTGACCCAGCACTGTAATTTACCGGATCAATAGGAAGGTGCCCATAGTGGTATCTTTGATTCCTTTGTTTTTTTATATTATCTGTTGTGTCTCGTTTTTGCTTACAACATAACAAAAAAATGCAGACTTTTCTCTGTGTAAGCCAATGGTTCCCACCCTTGGTCCCCCATGTGTTATTGGACTAAAACTTCAAGAAGCCTTCATTGCTAGCTGTGATGGTCAAGATTTCTAGAAGTTGTAGTTCAAGAACATCGGGGGACCCAAAGTTGGGAAGCCCTGGTGTGAACAAAGCATGTTGGTCTTTGTCTTTTGCCTGAATCTTTTCTGATTTTTTAAAACTATGAACAAAACAAACAACCCAGATGAAATATATGGTATTTCTGTACATGTTAGAACTTTGGAATACTGCCACCTTTTCCAGAACACTGTACAGCCCTTTCAAAACCAAGCCACTTGACAGCAAATCATAAAAGGATTAGCAAAGAAAGGACCAGAGGAAGAAAAGAAATTTGGGGGCTGGGGGCTGAAATGTGAATTGCATTGCTTCATGTGTGAACACCGAATTCCTGAGTCGATTCACAGTCCTTGTGGATCGCTGACTATTCAGGCATAATACAGGCTGTGAATGAATATGTTGTCTCAGACTAAGAGAGAGCCAGGTGTGTGATGCAAAACAGCAACACAGACTTACAAAGAGAGAGATTTCCACAACATATAGTTCATAGATGATGAAACAATAAGGGATGTAGGCTATATTTTGCACAGGATTAAATTGCACAGCAGTATATCACATTAGGTTAATGTGATTGGACATTGTGCATGTGAGGTTTTGGTTCTCTATGTCAGATAGCTTTGATATGTGGTTCTGATATATTATGTTCAGGCTCTTCTATAAAAAGGAAAATTTTCATCATTGGACATCTTCAGTGTTATGTGTTTGCTAAAGTGAATGCCCTTCTCTCTTACCAAGAGACAGTGGTGTTTGATAGGCTCCAGTAGCACTTTAAATATGACAGAAGGCATTCCCCCTGCTTTTCCTTTTTCTCTTGAAAACTTTCTGGGAGAGAACAGCCCTCTAAGATTAAATGAGTTTTTCTGCAAAATATTGATTCTCTGTTTCTTCCTTCTCTAAACTTGCTGAAAGAGAAGACCCCTGTCTCCTCTCCAGTGTGCCCCTGCTTATAGAGACTCAACGAAGAGGCACACTGTTTTTTTTTATTTGTATGAAACTAACAAAGGACAAAAACAGCAGGCATTTTCTGCTTTCTTTATGTTCTTCTCCAGAATTTTCTACAAGACTGAAAAGGTTCTAACTTTTTTTCTTTTCCTGAAGAAATCACAAGTGCTTGGAAAGAAAATAAACTTTTTTCCTCTCACTGAGATATGTTTGCATAAGAAGCAAACCAGGCATTTTTCCAGCTGTGTCTTACTTCACCCACACATCTGTATAGATAAGACTACTTCTCCCCCAAACCTTCTGTACTTTTCAGAGAGCTTGGGAGAGAGATGTTGTTGTTTGTAAACACACTCTCACAGCAGTTTAGAAATGTTAGAGAAAACAAGATAAGCACTTCTGCCCTTTTTAAATTGCTTCCACACCACAATGGAAGCAACAGAACTGACCTTTAAACAAGCAATTGGGAGATTTTTAAAAGAAAGGAGTTGAATTAATATACTTGTTAGATGGAGACTTGGTAGACAAGCTGAGCTGGTATTTGTAAGCTCCACCCCCTTTAAGAAAATACATTTGACTGCCTGATTATATTGTCTGCTCACCTTTGTGTTTGAAAGAATCCATTCTGGAATCTCTTGCAGATATTTGTGGAATTTGACCGGTGCAGTTGGAAACAGCATGCCTGGGTAAAAGTTCATGCAGAAGAAGTGATAGTTTTGATGCTGGAAGGGTCTCTGGTTTGGGTACCTCGAAATGAACCAATTCTCCTTCAGGGAACCAGAATATCAGTTGAACATTGGCCTGCACTAGTGAGTATCTTAACCTTTTTTGTTGTGTTAAATCAAATGAATGTCTATCATGCCAAATACTGCATTGTATTTCTTAATTTTGCATGTCTTCAAATCAAATCTTGACTCATGCCAACCCTTTCCAGAGTTTTCTACGTAGAAAATACTCAGAAGTGGTTTAATATTCCTTTCTTCTGGGGGCACCCTGTCTGTGAATGTGCAGCTTGCCCAAGGCTACACAGGCTGGCTCTTCTGGGAGATATTTTGCTGAGTTGAATTATGGACCTCTGGCTCTACAGTCAGATAACCTAACTCACTGAGCATTTCTAAGGCATGTAAAATGTGGGAGGAAATGCTTTCTGTATCAAGCACTTCAATAAGAGAGAAGATTAATTTGCAAGTCCTGAATCTTTGATAGTTTTATTTCAAGTAAACATGCTATAATTTGCTTTCAGATACTCATTTTCATTGTTCTCTTATTCACAGACTTTCACTCCTTTAGTAGATAAGCTGGGGTTAGGCTCTGTGGTTCCAGTAGAGTCTCTTGTAGATCGAGACTTACGATTCCTCTCAGATGCCAGTGGATTGCGTCTTTTCCAGGTAAATTTGAGGTGCTTGAACTTGAGGTAAAGATTTCATTTGTCTTTATTTTAGTAAAATTCAGAGGACAGTATGTTACTGGTATTTGAATGTGGTTCCCCTTTAGCTTTCTTACTCCTCGATATATTCATTGGCAGCAGGAAGAGAAAGGCAGTGAACAGGCAACGTATCTAACTGGTATTAATTCAAAGAAGTGTGGACTTATTTTCATATGCCCCAGAGGACTTGAGGTTTATGATTCTCAAATAGCAGATACCATGCTGTTTGGCAAACCACTTTTGCAACTGCGAAATTTCAGAATCAGTTTGTAATATGGCATGGCAAACTACAAAGAAAACAAATAACAGGTCCTTGTTTGGATATATATTGAAGAGTTCCATGGCATCTGGGGCCTTTTAATTTAAAGAACTCTATAATGTTGTAATGTTGCAGTCACTGGAAAACAAGTAGTTGTATTAAACTTAACTTCTAGAGCTTCATATGTTGTGATCAGATAACAGACACCTGAGACTGCTTCTCACATTCTGTTTTGCTGGAAAAGCCAGCTCTCTATTACATGACTTTGAATAAGTTGCTTTTCACTGTAGAAGTTAAAATAGTTTGTCATATATCTAACAGAGAGAAGGCCAGCTACCTGTACAGTCTTGAGTTATGAAATATTGGCTTCCGATTGCAACCTTTCATATTATGTTGCAATGATGTGAAAAAAGAGCCTCACTGTGCTCTGTTACTTAACAAACTAATTCCTTAGTAAATATGTCAATAAACTATAAACATGTAGAGTAAATGCATAGGAGTGTTTGTTGTTCTTTTGGCCACATCTGTGTTTTGCAGAAAGTACTTGCTGGGTATGCAGAAGTCAGGGAACTGACCAGAATAGTATCAAAGTGACTTGCAGCTTCAGAAACAGTTCTGAAATTCTTGGTTCTGTTATCATGGAGAAGAAAGATAAAGTAATAGGAAACAAAGAAATCATGCTGTATTCCTGGACTCTTGTCCATTTCCTGAACAGGATTATTTATTTATTTTCTAATTAAAAAACCTTTCCTGGCAGATGGCAACAGAAACGCAGAACCAGCTTCTTCAACAACAACCTCTATTGAGGGAATCTGTCAATGCATTGATTGGTGATCAGAAACTTCAGGAGATATTTAGCAGAGGTAAGATGAGCTGGCTGTAAATCCTGAAATAAAACCTGTTTCATTTTGGTTTTTCTTCTCATTACAGTTAAAAAATTTTCGTAGCTGCTTTAAAAGACCCATTCTTCCTTTTGCAAAGCTTGTTTTGTCATGTTGTTTCTCAGACTGAGAAAAGGGATTAATCAAATCTTGTTACAGATGACCTGGGAGAGGATTACTGCTATTTAGGAAATGGGCTGCAGCAGGTATTGTGGCAGCATATGCATATCTAGTTTGAATGGCTTGATATTGGTTTTAGAGTGAAAGGGAAGTGGAGATATATTGCAGAAGTACTTGTGTTCTGAAATCGGGCATATCAGGATGTGAGGTGCAGTCTGTTTTAAATCTGAGGTAGCAAATTAAAGACTCAGTTTGTAGTTTGAATATCATCCTTCATCTAGTTTTGATCCTGGACATCAACATATTGATAATGGCCTGAAGTGGTTTCATATCCATCTAATGGCATATTTGTGCATATCAAGCAGGAGGGAAAATCCAATTGCAGTGTTTTCAATTTCTGTATGTGAGCTGGTCATGGGACGTGGTGGCACATGGGACGTGGTGGTGCTGCGGGCTAAACCGCAGAAGCCTGTGCTGCAGGGTCAGAAGACCAAGCAGTTGTAAGATCGAATCCACGCGACGGAGTGAGCGCCCGTCGCTTGTCCCAGCTCCCGCCAACCTAGCGGTTCGAAAGCATGCAAATGCAAGTAGATAAATAGGGACCACCTCGGTGGGAAGGTAACAGCGTTCCGTGTCTAAGTCGTACTGGCCATGTGACCACGGAAGATTGTCTTCGGACAAACGCTGGCTCTATGGCCTGGAAACGGGGATGAGCACCGCCCCCTAGAGTCGAACACGACTGGACAAAAACTGTCAAGCGGAATCTTTACCTTTATGTGAGCTGGTCACCTGACCATAATAAATAAATATAAAATTTCTGTATGTGAAATTGTGAATAAGAAGTAATTAGGAAGCTGGAATTTCTATGTTATGTATTTTCTTAATGAGTAACAACTCCCGCCAACCTAGCGGTTCGAAAGCATGCAAATGCGAGTAGATTAATAGGGACCATCTCAGTGGGAAGGTAACAGCGTTCCGTGTCTAACTCACACTGGCCATGTGACCACGGAAGATTGTCTTCGGACAAAACGCTGGCTCTGTGGCTTGGAAACGGGGGTGAGCACCGCCCCCTAGAGCCGAACACAACGGGACAAAAATTGTCAAGGGGAACCTTTACCTTTACCTTAATGAGTAACAAATTCAAAATAAACATAAATCTTTTATTGGAAACCAGCGGAAACTTGGCTGGGTCAGAAATCTATTAACACACACCCATTTTAGTGATCTTTTTCTCCCTGATCCTGTCCTGCCACCTTTCTTTCTTGCTAACCTTTCTCTCCTTTCACCCTCTACTTGTTCTGCCTATGTGAGCTTTACCTGGCTTATCTATTCCTTAATTTTTTACTCACTGGTTGCCTCCCTTTTTTTCCTGTTGGTCTTTTGCTCCACCTGCTTAGTGTGCCAACTTTTCATGGGTTAGAGACTCCTTTGTTCTTTCATGTTTCTCCACTTTGCTGCTCACCTTTGCTTAATCTCTTCCCACATCATACCTGGCATCATTAGTTTCTCCATCCCCTCCTGTTGGGGTTGCCGCAAAGCAGCATATCATATTAATCTATCAGGCCTTTCTCAATTTAGGATTGCTCCAGCAGCTAATGGCTTCAGATGGTACTGCAGGTACAGACTGATTTTAGTTAATTAATGCATTTAGAAGACAGAATGAGTCTGGGATGCACCTTCACCAGAGTTGTCTTAGTATCCATGCTAATTATCATATTTCATGGTCTCTGGGCTATGCCGGGGAGTGCATGCATGCACGCACGTACAGTCATATAGGTTTTTGGAAACTGACGTGCAAATGAAAAAACAGAACCTCATGGCATGGTGGTAACTAGTGATATGTCTAATGTAGGTTGGGGTGCTATGGCCTTTCAGCTGTTTTGTACTACAGCACCTAACATCCTGGCAGGGTGCCAGAAAGTTGAAACTCAACAATGTCTGGAGGGCCATATGTTCCATCACACCTGATTTGAAGGGTATGATCCTGTTTCACAGAAAGTCTGGATGAAACATGATTTATTTATTGTTTCTAAGAAATGTATTTCCATTTATAATGTTTTATTTGTTAAAAAAATCCTTGGTGTGGTGGCATAGACGTGACTGATAGTATTCTCATGTGGAAACTGTCCCTAGGTCCTTACACCATCCAGGGTCAAAGAGTGAAAGTGTACCAGCCAGAGGAGGAGAACTGCTGGGTCTCTGCTGTTGTGAGCTGTCAAGATCCTATCACTCGTCTGATGGAGGTGGTTTTGACTGAGGTATGAAGTTTTTTTGATGGGGTTCCGATGTCTAATTTCCTCACTGTCGTTCATAGAATCATAGATTTTAGAGTTGCAAGATATGCTAGAGTCACCTAACCAACCTCCTCCTCAATACAAGTTGTACAGTCCTGAGTGCAAGAGCCTTGTGGCACAGTGGTTAAACTGCAGTACTGCAGCCAAGACCTGAGTTTGCTCCCAGTGGGCTCAAAGTAACCAGATCAAGGTTGACTCAGTCTTCCATCCTTCTGAGGTTGTTAAATTGAGTACTCAGCTCACTGGGGGGGGGGGCAGTGTATAGCCTGCTTAATTAAATTGTAAGCTGCCCAGAGAGTTAAGTTCAGTTGTAGCATCACTGACAGGTAACTGTTATGTTCTGAATTGTTTCCAGCAAAAGGGAGACCACCATCATCTAAAACAACCTGTTCCACTGTTTAACAGCTTGTTACATGACAGAGTTGTTGCTGCTGTTCTGCTGATTATCTGCTTCTTGTAGTTTCCATCATTATAATACTACTCTTTGGTGTAAGAGAGGCATGTCTCATTTCTGAATACACAGTGGTGCCTCGCATAACGAGCGCACCGTACAACGACGAATTTGCATAGCGATCCCTTTTTTGGGATCGCTAATGCAAAGGCATACTGGCAGCCCCAATGGGCAAAACTCGCATTGCGAAGATCGGTAAGCGTTTCGCTTACTGATCTTCGCATTGCGATGTCGGGAAATCAGCTGATCGGCGGCTCCAAAATGGCCGCCGCTCGACCCAAAATGGCCGCGCTCAGCATTTTCGTGCCCTGCCCTCGCTTACCGAGCGTGCGAAAATGGCTGCCGAATGGGGGAAACTTCGCTAAACGGTGAGTACAGAAGCCATTGGAATGCATTAAACTAAGTTTAATGCGTTCCAATGGCATTTTGTGTCCCGTTTAGCGATGTTTCCCCATAGCGACGGTTAATCCGGAATGGATTAACCTCGCTATGCGGGGCACCACTGTATCTCCTCTTAGTCTTCTCTTCATTAGGCTAAACTTTCTTGTTCATCTGTGTAATGTTTGTTTATTGCAATTATGGAGATTTATCTTTGTAGATGGGGGGCACTATATAAGAATCATTCTAAGTCCTAAATCATTCTAAGTGCCATTAAATTGATGTAAGAACTCATGAACAAAATAAAACCCCAAAGGGCAGGAACCTCAACTGTTCAGCAGTTGTGGAAATAACTTGGATAATTTCAATCATTTATATAGCTGCAGAATATGGTATTTTAGGAGCATAGTTCTGCTTTTCATTAAATCCAAACTTTGGTACTCTGTGGATTGAATAGCTGGGGAGATGTAGACTGGTTCTTGAATCTGGAGTAGCTCTTTTGTGAATGAAACTAGTTCTAATTCAGTGGAACTCCTTGCTTGGGAATTGTCAGAGCTGAGGCATTTTTCAGCAGTTCCACCATCCTGCTAAACCATTTTCTATGCTGCTCCACAAGACCTTTCAGTCCTGTAAGGCAGTGGCCCCCAACCTTTTTGGAACCATTGACCATTTGCGGGGTGCAGGCTCTGTGCACGAACTGGTTGGGGAGTGGGGCACCGCTGTGCTCACCCGTTGGCATGTCACGCTCATGTGTGGAAGTGTAAAAGGCAAAACTTGGCCACGACAGCCAAATAAGCAAGTGTACAAAAGCCAGGGGGTGTGGGTGGGGCTGCACGTGGGCACCCGTCTCCCCGCTCGACTGAACCGTGTCCCAGACACATCCCCAGGCGGACCCACTGGCTTCTCCCCACCAAATCGCCTGTCACGGCTTTTGTGGGGCTTGGGCAGACTTTGGCCAGCCCGACACTGCCTCCCGCCTGAGGTGAGCGAGGAAGGTCAAGCCAAGCCCAGGGCCACGTGGATTAAGTGGAATGCTGCCCCTGCAAAGCGCCCGCCTGTCCTGGGTTCAAGGATCACAGCTTGGCATGGGGGACAGGGTCAGAAAGCTCTCCCGGCGAGCCCACTGCTGGTCTGGCCAGCTGTTGCACTCGCCTTTTGTTCGGCTCCCTTTGCTGGGGCCTCCTGGGAGGGGAGGGAGGGGAAATAGGCATCTCGCTACCAGCCGGCCAGTGCGCCCAGCTCTGTGTGTGTGTAGGGAGGGGTACGCGCATGCATGCGCCTGTGTTGCAGGGGGCGTGGAGGTGGTGGCAGTGCTGGCACTCTGGGGATTTGAGGTGTGTCAGCCCAGCTGCAGCCCAGAACACACCAAAGTGAGCAATGCTGCCAGACGGGCAAGATGGTGCAAGCCGGCGCAGGCTCCTTCCCCGCTGTGGCTCCTCCGGCATGAGGCGGAGGCTGTAGGCTGGCCTCCTGGAGTCTGAGCCCCATCTGCCTCGCGCTGCCTGGCCACCCCTCTGGACGCACGTGTGGTTTGTGTGCTAGGGCAACTGTTGCCATGCCTCCGCCGCCACCACCCACTTTGCTATAATCATAAACATTCCAGGATTGGAACTTTGCTTATGAAATCTCTGGATCTCCTCTGACAATAATGTTGGTATCTATTTAGTACTAACATAGAGGAAACAATGTACAGTATTCCCGAAGGCTTTCACGACTGGGATTTGATGGTTGTTGTAGGTTTTTCAGGTTGTTTGGCTGTGTTCTCAAGGTTTTTCTTCCTAATGTTTCGCCAGTCTCTGTGGCCAACATCTTCAGAGGACAGGACTCAGAACTCTGTCTGTGTTCTGGTGCAGTTTGTGAGATAGTTGAATATTGTGGTATTAGCTTTTTGTGCTTTTTAGGAGATTGGGTGATTATGGTGATCAGTGTGTTTTTCCTTGTGGGTGTATTGTTCTGATAAGGGGGAGGGATGATCTGTCACTGTGATTGATGGGAGTCGTTAGCTGGTCTTTTGTGTGCAGTGATCACCTGTCCTTGTGGCTGGGTAGCACCAGAGCACAGACAGTGTTCTGACTCTTGTCCTCTGAAGATGCCGGCCACAGAGACTGGCAAAACGTTAGGAAGAAAAACCTTCAGAACACAGCCAAACAGCCCGAAAAACCTGCAACAACCATAGAGGAAACAGTTGTAGTGTTCTGATTTAGGCAGTGCAAATTTACTAAGTAGAGTGGTGATGATGGAGAAGCAGTAGGAACATTACTTTGAAAGAAATTAGCAAAATAAGATATTGAGGGAGCTAAAATCGGCTTCACATTTATTTTGTTATTAGTCCTTTGTGTTTGCATTGCCTTTTTCTTCCCCCATGCTAATTAATTCTCTGTAAAAAAAATCAGACAGGTGAAATCAAGTCAGTGGATCCTCGGCTGATTCATGTAGTGATGGACACTTCGCTTTTGAATGAGGTACTGTATTTTACCAGGTCATGACATAAAGTATCATGGTTATGAGGGGATGAAAAGTGAAGCATTCTCTGCTGACATCTGAATGCACCAGCTGAGTCCTGAGGTCAAGATTCATCTGGCATCTGCAAATGCTGGGTGAAAGCGAGGTCAACATTGCTCATTGCACCCTCCTGCTCTTCATGCAAGAAGTGTTTGCAGATGTGCAGGAGCTGACATTAGTAAGATCTAGCTGGAAGGGAGATACTTCCCGTGATGGATTGGATGAAGCAGGAAGAACTTTTGTCTCCATGCCCTGGAGGGTAGAGTGGGTGGGGTTTCTGCAAATAATTTTTGCATGAAATTGGTTAGGCCTATGACTTAAGAGGTTGCTTTCCTCCTCATGTAAAAGATTGATCTCAATAGAAGTGCTTGTCCTATCATAGTAGCTGAAATTCATCTATATGTATCTGCAGGATTTTGTACATTTAAGAATTTCACTTGATAAGTAAATTACAACTAGTATGTTTCTGTAGAACAAATTAGTGTGAATTGATTTTAAACAGCCTGTTGTACACTTGAATGATCATATTGAAATGGGTTACAGTGGACCCTTGGCTTACAGCCGGCTTGACTTGCAGACTTTTTGAGTTACAGACTTCTCTGGCCGCAAAATTTAGGTTTGACTTGCAGACTGAGATTTGACTTACAGACCAGAAAAAAACCAAAATGGAACAAAAACGGCCTGTTACGAGATTAATCGGTTTTCAATGCACTGTAGGTCAGTGGAGACTTGACTTACAGACTTTTTGACTTGAGAACCGCCTTCCAATACGGATTAAGTTCTCAAGTCAAGACCCCACTGTATTTGAAGCAGTATTGCATTAGTTGAATATCTCAATTTCTTAGAATCTTCATATTGATGAAGATGATAGCATTTTGCTGACTCATGTATGCTTTTTATTTGTTATAGGGAGGCTCTGTAAAGGGAGCTAAATCATCAAAAGGGAAGAAGAAGAGAGAGAATACGGAAGGGAAAGATGGACGAAGGAGAAGAAATGCTTCTGAAGCTGGATGTGACCATGCTACAAAGAAACTGAAGGAGAGGGGTGAAATGGATAGTAATGGAAATGATGGAGTTGAGGCAGCCAGGGGAGCTTGGAAAGGAAGCATCAGCGGTGACATGACTCTGGATCCAAAAGCCAAGCAGCTTCCACCATTTGTTCCTCAAATTAATCGTAATGTTCGTTTTGCCACATACACAAAGGAGAACGGTCGAACTCTTGTGGTGCAGGATGAGCCAGTAAGTGGTGACACAACCATGCCCTTCACTTCCTTTTCTTCAGCTACTGCCCAAGCACTACTGAGTGGAGCTGGAAGTCAAGAAGTGGTAAAATCCTTAGAACAGGCCAGTCAAGGCCCATCGGCTGTCCCTGCAGTGATTACTACTGTGGGGCCAGCGTCAGCTACTGTGCGGACCTCTGACACTGTCTTGTCAGCAGTTACTGGACAAGAAAAACAGAAAATGGGCCACTTGCAGGCCCCAGGAGAGGTAAGTTGTCTATAGTCAGCATTATTTTAGTAGTATTAGGCATTTGTGTAACATTTCATTGTGTTCAAACACTTTGCATACATTATCTCATTTTAGTTCTTTTAATAACTCTCTTGATGATGTATACGAAGGTGCAGTGGGAAAGATAGGAGTCCTGAAATCTGTGAATGTATGCTTTTTCAAAGCTAAAGTACTGAAAACACCGACGTGGGATGTTAGGATCATATAGATATGTTAAGGGTAGTAGGAGTGATGAATGCTTCCCTGAAACAGAGTAAGATTCAAGCATGCTTAAAGCATGCTTAAAGGAAGCAGTAAGAAGACCGTTACTGATAAAACCCTGCTTGGATCCTATGGTATTAGATAATTACAGTGGTGCCTCGCTTTACGATTGTCCCGCATTACAACAAATCCGCTTTACAACGATCTTTTTGCGATCGCAAAAAGATGGTCTATATGGGGGAATTTTGCTTTGCTTCGGGAACCGATTCTTCCAAAACAATGATTTTTAAACAGCTGATTGGCGGTTTCAAAATGGCCGCCGGGTAACTAAAATGGCTCCCCGCTGTGTTTAGGGACAGATTCCTCGCTATACAGGCAGCGAAAATGGCGGCCGTATGGAGGATCTTCGCTGGACAGTGAGTTTTAAGCACATTGGAACGCAATGAAAGGTTTTTTATTTTCACTTTACGATGTTTTCGCTTGACAGCCATTTTCCTGGAACAGATTATCGCCATTAAGCGAGGCACCACTGTACCAGCTAGCCTCTAAAAGGTCCTTTAATGAGAAAAGTGGGATAAAAATATTTTAAACAAATTAAATAAATAAAGTTCAATTCTTCGGCAAGGTGCTAGAGTGGACTGATTTCTCAGCTCCAGAGATTCCTGGATGAGACGGATTATCTACATCCATTTCTGTCTGACTTCAGGCGTGGTTATGGGACAGAGACTGCTTTAGTTACCTTGGTGGATGACCTACATTGGGAACTGAACAGAGGGAATATGTCCCTTTTGGTTCTGCTGGACTTCCCAACAGCTTTTGATACCATTGACCAAAGTATCCTTCTGGGATACTACTTGGCGGCGCTGTTTTATGGTGGCTCCAGTCCTTCCTGAAGAAGAGAACTCAGAAGATGTGCTGGGGGACTCCTGCTTGACAACCTGACTCAGGGTTCTGTTTTGTCCCCTATGCCAGAGGTTGTCAACCCCCAGTCCACAGCCCGGTGCTGGTCTGTGGCCGGACCGGGTCATGAAGACAGACCTCCCGTCCCCCTGAAACACTCCCCTCCACACAGCTGCTTTGTGCATGTGCGCGCATGCCAGCGCTTCCGCACCGTTTCGTGCATGCGCCAGAGTCCCCACACCAAGGGGTGGGCGGGGAGGCGCCACCACTGCTTTGTGCATGCACCCGAGAGAGCACACAGCCAGTCCGCGGTCTGAAAAAGGTTGGGAACCGTTGCCCTATGCTATTCAACATCTACATAAAACTGTTGGGATAAGTTGTTTGGGGTTTTGTGTCAGAAGTATGCGGATGACACTCAACTCTGTCTCCTTTCCATCTGGAATCAGTAATGGACTGGATGAGGGTGAATAAACTGAAATTTTATTCAAACAAGACAGAGGTGCACCTGGTCACTTGAAAGGCAGATGAGGGAACAGGATCCAACCTGTGCTGGGTGGGGTAGTACTCCTCTGAAGACATGTGTGGAACTTAGATTGCTCCTGGATTAATCCCTGAGCCTGGATTGCCTGGCTTTGAGCAGTGGCCAGAAGTGTATTTGCACAATTGAAACTGTTGTGCCAGTTGTACCTGTTCCTTTGGCCAGAGTGACATATGCCTTAGTTACATCCTGGCTGGATTACTGTAACATGTTTTATGGGGGGCTGCCTTTGGAAAGTATTTGGAAACTTCAGCAGATCCAAAATTCTGCAGCCAGATTGTTAACAGGCAGATGACCAGGATCACATAACCCCCCTGTTAACAGCAACTTCACTGCCTGCTGATCCATTTCCAGGCACAATTCAGAGTGCTTGTTTTGACCTACCAAGTCCGAAGTGCCTTGTGCCCAAGCTGGCTCAAGGACTGTGATTCCCAGTTAAATCTTCCCAGGTGTTAACATCATCAGGAAGTTCTTTCTCTTGGTCTTGCCACTTTCATTTTAAAAAATGATTAATTAAAATGTGATTTAAATCAATTAGATTTTTATCTTGCCCCCCCCCGACACAAGAGAGGGGCTTCTCTGCTGCTCCCTCCTACAGAAAACAAGTTTGATCCCATCTTTCCTATCCTTCTGCAAGCAAGCAACGACATTTCTCTTCAGTCAGGCTTTCCTCTATTGACTGGGTTTTGTCTAAGATTTTTTTAAATGGAACTGTTTTCTTTTTGTTGGTTTTTTAAAATGTGTTTTAATTATTTTTATCTGTGAGTTTTTTATATGATACTTGTTTTATTCTTTTTTTAAATACTCTAATAATTTATTGTCTTTAGCTTTTATACTATTTATTTTTAATACTGTAGGCTGCCTTGGATCATTTTTGGGAGAAAGGCAAGGTAGACATTTTAAATAAAATAAAATAAATCAGGATAGTTTCAGCATGCACATTGACACGTTACAGAATATACAGTGGTGCCCCGCATAGCGACGATAATCCGTGCAGCAAAAATCGTCGCTATACGGATTCGTCGCTATGCAAAATAAAAAAAACCATAGGAATGCATTGAAACCCCTTCAGTGCATTCCTATGGGCTTAAAACTTACCTTTTAAGCGAAAATCCTCCATACGGCGGCCATTTTAGCTGCCCGGTAAGCGAGGAATCTGTCCCTGTTTTACCCGGCGGCCATTTTGGAACTGCCGATCAGCTGAGGAAAAATCATCGCTATGCGAAAATCGGTAAGCAAAACAGCTTACCGATCGTCGCAAAGCGATTTTCCCCCATAGGAAACATCGTCGCTATGCGGATTTGTCGTTAAACGGGGCGCCTGTTATGCGAGGCACCACTGTATCTTCAGAAACTGAAGATAAAATTACGGTATCAAGAAGGATTATAATGGCCCTCTGCTACAACACTACCAGAATCTGTTAGAACTGAGAGGCGAGGATCCCTTCTTCCTGCACAGCCCCACCACTACCATTATCACCCCAGCCAAAGACTCTGGAGTGCTGGAAAACTGCCCAGAGAAGGTTTCTGAGTAGGTCACCAGGCTATAGGGGCCCTGAAAGGAGAAATAGTTCTGTTGGCAAAGTATTTGAAATATACCATTATTATTTGTTAATCATAACATACCTTCAGATTCTGCCTTTGCTCCGGTGAGAAGGCAGTGTGGCATACTTGGTAGTTCTCTCGTTTCCCCCTCCCTCTTCATAGTAGCCCTGTGAAGTAAGTCAGACTGAAAGTGCATGACTGGCCCATGGTCAATTAGGGAGTTTCGTGGCTCAGTGAAGATTAGAACCTGGATCTCCCAAGTCCCAGTTCAGCACTTGAACCACTATACCATTCTGGATTAGATGAACTCATTAAAGCTAGTAGGTATTTCTTCTCTATCAGATGCATTCATGTGTGTATTTAGAAATTATACGACTAACCAGTTAATTTTTGCAGTCTTAACAGAATGTTTGTTGGACAGTGTTAGGTGTGTTCAGTATGATATGGTATAAACTGAATAACTGGTAAAAGAACTGTCTTTTCTGGAGAAAGGCAGGACAGAAATAAAGTGAATAAAAATAAGTAAATAAGTTTGTGTTGATAAAAGTTTTAATATACACAATGAGAGTGCTTTGAATTTTAGATTTTGAAAGGAAAACTAGTTGATGTCTTATTTTGTTTCAGAGTTCCCCAAATTCTATGTTGGCCTCTCCAGGTTTTGGAGTGGCACACTCCAGTGCTTCTCATCCTTCAGTGTTTGACAGTGGTCGAAGCCAGTCCAATGGAGTGATAAGTTCAGAGAAAAAGCCTGTTGGATTTTCATTTGTCAGTAACACTGGTCATGAGATTCAGAAAGATTCTGATTTGTCAAAGAACTTGTTTTTTCAGTGTATGTCCCAGAATCTTCCCTCCAGCAACTACTTCACAGCTTTGTCAGAGAATCTGACTGAAGAACCGTCAAGTGAGGACTCCTTAAAAAAAAATTCAGAGAGCCTGAGTGTGGGCATCTGCAAAGGTCTTGCAGGAGAAGCTAAAGTTGGGACTCATTTGGGCAGTTCTGTGGACCAGAAGCTGCCAGTAGAGTCCATGCCCACCCTTACTCCGGCTTTTCCACGAAATCTTGTGAGTTCGCGACCTCCTGAAAATCATGAGAATCTCTTTCTGCAACCCCCCAAACTGTCACGAGAGGAGCCCTCAAATCCTTTTCTGGCATTTACAGAAAAATCGGAACCCAGTCCTTTCAGTAGCTTTGCATCCTCATCTCAGCCTGGAGTGTCTGTTAGTCCCTCTTCAGTTCTTGGTTCCAAGACAGTTTCTGGCTGGCCAGATTTGCACACATCAAGTGACTCTCTAGCTAAAAAGAAAAGTTTATTCATAACAACAGATTCCTCCAAGATGCTGTCTGGAGTACCTAGTTCAACTCTCTTCGCTGGTGCTCAGAGTTCGTCTACCCTGGGGAATGGCCGTTCCAGCTCGCCTATTGGCAGCCTGACACAACCTATTGAAATGCCCACACTCTCCTCCAGTCCAACAGAAGAAAAGCCATCTGTTGGGCCTGGACAACAGGACAATCCTCTTATGAAAACTTTTTCTAATGTGTTTGGCAGACATCCGGCTGGCTTTTTCTCTTCACAGGCGGAACTACCATTGGAGAACAAAGCCCCCTTTGAAACAGTGAAAAGATTCTCTTTAGATGAGCGAAGCATGCCATCTAAGCAGGATTCTGATTCTAGCACCAATAGCGACCTCTCTGATATGAGTGATTCTGAGGAGCAGCTGCACACCAAAGCTTGTCTCAAGGGAATCCCAGAGCATCTGATTGGGAAACTTGGTTCCAATGGCGAGCGGAATGCTGAACTGTTAATGGGCAAGGGAAAAGGGAAACAGACCCCCAAGGGCAGGCCTCGCACAGCCCCTCTGAAAGGTGAAGGTTTTTAAAGGCTAGCCTTTGGGGAAAGGTGAAAAATGGGCTACTCGGTTCTGTATTTGCATGTGTTTTTATGGTCATTTGTGTCATGTCCATGCTTCTGTGAATCTCTCCTCTGTAAGCCAATCAGGGAACCATTTCAGGTGAAAATTGGTTTTAATAATAATATGTCCAGAGGACGATAGCAAGAAGAAAAATAAATTAAGAGTTCTCAGATAATCAGTAAGTGAAAAGGGTTGTAGCTTAATGTAGAGCATAACCTTTCTAGACAGAAGATCCCAGATCCAGTTCCTGACATTTTAGTATTGGGCTGGAAAAGTTGTTTCAACTGTGATCAGATGGAATCACTGTTATTTACATTGGCTGACAGAAAATGGGGATTCCCCTTGGTATTCGTTTTGCTGTCCCATTGTGGGTGAGGAGTGGTACTGTCATCTTTGTTCATGGATGAGAATTAACAGGATTCCTTCATGCTTTTCCTGATTGAATGTAGCAACTCACACACTCAGAACAGGCAGTGCTTGCCCTCCTAGATAGCAAGGAAAGTGGGGAAATCTATGTACTCTGACAACCAGGTCTTAAGGAAGAGAATAGAGCTTTTTTGGAACCACAGTTCAGGAAGTGATGTTTCACTTTTCTTGATATAAATTCTGTCATTTAAGAAAAAGAATAAACTATGGCTGAAATCCTGTTGTTCATTATAGCAAGTCATAGTAGAGTAGGCCCATTGAATCAGTGGGGATTTGATGAGTCAACTCCTGTAAGTTCCATTGATTCAGCGGATGTACTTCAGTGCAACTTATTGCAAGGAGAAACAGAATTTTAGCCTGTAAATGAATTCTGTTGTATAAAACTCTTCTAATTTTTCCACGTTTCACAGTGGGGTTGTTCTGCAGAAATTTTAATAGAAAATGGGGGAACACCTGTGTGTTTGGAGAAGAGCAATGTACTGTATAGGGACAGGAAAAAAGTATTGGAAGAAAAAGTATGAAAAGCACAAGGAAATTGGCAAAATGTAAATATACCAGTTGGTTGTTTGGTGTTCTGTAGACAATTCCTAACCACTTTTATCATAAAAAATAACCATAAAAACAATAACTCAGAAACATTGAAGGCAAGATCATGTTGGTAAGTTTATCCAATGAGATAAATGTTTATGTGTTTGATGTTCCTCATTTCATTGATTCATCATTCCAGTATTACTCTGTGTGCATTCCTATTCAATTAAGCCTGGGGGGGGGAGACACACAGTCCTCATCTGTCTATATCCTCAAGCAGTTCATATTCTGATGATAGTATTAACATTTTTGCTTTAAATATTTTTTAAAACTGTTGACTTGTTGACCTGTTTCTGAGACCATGGGACTTGATGAGACTTGATCATTGATAGAGTTGTGTGCATGAAATAAATGGAAGCTTAGAGATTACTGCTTTAAATGTACTCCCTGATTGAATCTAGGTTTTGTGCAGCTTAAACTGGCTAAACTGTCTGCCATGGGTTAAGGATTTTTAGTATAAATACATAAGATATATATAGAAGGAGAGTAGAGATAGATTCTAAAGATATTGTAGCAGTTTGCTCATATCCACAACTGTCTTTACCTGATGTTTGCATATTGGATGTTTTGTTTAGTTAGGACTTGTATGTATATAACCCAGGCTGTGACATTATATGGTATAAAGTGCTTAGGTTAGGCCTACACACTTTGATTCTTATGCAAAAGACATATCTTGTACATGAATGCCAGCTGGGTACAAGAGCACTATGGGAAATGTAGTCTCTGTGCAGGGTGGGGATGAGGAGTCTTTGGTCCTCCATTCCTATCATACTACATCATGGGTCATACTGCCTAGGGATTATGGAAATCAAGTTCAACAAGATCTGAAGAAAACAAGTTCATTACATCCTGATTAAGCCTGCATTTTTGTAGGATTTAAGGTTAGATATACTGTATATGACTTGGAATATGGCACCCTTTCCCCTTGTAGTTTGAGTACTCTAACCATTGCTTTGTTTCATAGTTGGTCAGTCTGTACTCAAAGACATGAGTAAGGTGAGGAAGCTGAAGCAGTCAGGGGAACCCTTCCTCCAGGATGGCTCCTGCATCAATGTAGCCCCACATCTTCACAAGTGCCGAGAATGCCGCTTGGAACGCTACAGGAAATTCAAGGAACAGGAACAGGATGATTCCACTGTAGCCTGTCGCTTCTTTCATTTCCGCAGGTAATGACAGTCTCTGGGTTTGCCTTCACTTCTGTTAGTTGATGACTAAAGAAGTGCTCTTTTCATTATTTATTTATTTATTTGATGTAATTTTGTACGTAACATAATCTTTTTCAGTTTTGGTGTACTTTCTGTAGTAACAGCTGTCATTTTCATTACACCTTCTGAGATCTGTGCATCATACCTCATGGGAAAGTGACATGAATGAATGTGCAGATGAATAGAAAGATTTTAAAAGTTCTCTTTCTCCCCAAAAAAACTAGTTCAGATTGGATCTTTTCTTTGTGGAAAAAGCCAGATACTATGCAACAAAACTTGGGTTTTACAGTGAAATGTAATTATATAAGAATGTAATTATAATACAGATGTAGTGAATTTCACATTTAGAACCAAATCAATCAGACACTGGCCAGAGTCTTGTTGTGGATTTAGGGAGCTGTAAATGTAATTATGAATTGTGGCATGAATTGCAGCTGACATTTCTAGTTGTATGTCATGTCATAGGATTGGGATATTACTAAGAATGCTCCTAGCATGTTGTTAATTAGTGGCATTTTTGCTACCATGATGTATGCATTACCTAAATCCATGAGAGGAATTCTAATCACTAAGTTCAAGCCTAGTTTTCTGTAGAGAATACTGAACATTAGAGAAAGTAACTGAATTTTTGAAACTTGATTATGACACTGTGAAACCCAATTGAATTTCTGAATAAAAACCACATTCTCTGTATAAAATAATGAAATACGGTGGTGTTTCACTTAACGATGTTAATTGGTTCCAAAAAAACACATCGCTATGGGAGAACATCGCTAAGCGAAACACCATTTCCCATAGGAATGCATTGAAAACCGGTTAATCCGTTCCAATGGGAACGGATTACCGTCCTTAAGCGAAAATCCCCATAGGAAACATCGCTAAGTGAAACAATGTTTCCCCCATCAGAAAGCTATTGAAATACATTGAAGCCGACTCAGTGCATTTCAGTGGCTTTCCAGTGTCCGTTTTTGCTCATTTTTAAGTGACTTAAAATGTTTGAAACCTGTTTTAAATGCTTGGAATCATTAGTGCACCTTGTGAAACATGTGCAAACTTAATTTGGCTTTGTTCTGAGTCTTCGTTAATTTTTGGTGATTTTTTTGTTTTCCCCATTTAAATCCATTGAACTGTTCCCCATTTATTTATTTATTTGATTTATACCCCGCCCATCTGGCTCATAAAACCACTCTAGGCAGCTTCCAATGTAGTGTAAACAATAAGAGTACTTAAGAGTGACAGCTGTTTTTTAAACAACATTGGTTTTGAATCAATATATCCTATAAAATGGACACACTTTTCATGGAAGTGTCATTATAAGTACATCACTTTTTTTGAAACGTTATATCATTTCTTATCGCTAAGCGAGGCACCACTGTATAGGGGAAGGTATTTAATTTCTGAGGCACATGTTTTAAACATAGGGATATATTTATTTTTGCGACTCAACATTATCAATCAGTGTGGACATTTACTTTCTAGATTACAAAGAAGTCTTTCATTCATAATAATTACCATCCTTTTTCTTAGAAAGTTCTTAGAAAGTTATCCACAGTCCAGCCCACGTGATTGAATTGTGTTCTTATTGATTAAATAGAGATGGGGATATTTGTATTCGTATATGAATACCCCCCCCCACAGGTGAACATAATGAAGGTCCAGCCCCAGGGACTGTCTACTCACAGTCTGCTGTTGCTGTGGGCTTCACAGTTGGCCAGCCACTCTTCGACTTGGCAGAAATGCTCATTGTCCCACCTTCTGCCAGGAGTGGCTAATTGACCGCAAGCTCTGGAGGGGGCAGACCCTCATTATGTCCACCTATGGGGGGGTATTCGTATACAAATATGAATACCCCCATGTCTAATCAGAAGCTTTTGATTATCTCCTGAATTTTATTGTAGTTGCAAAGCAAGATGTAAAAAACAAATAACTGATATACAGGAAACACATAGATTACCAAATGGGAAGATTGTTATTAATAAGTTGTGTTTATGTATTATTCTTTCTTTTTTTGATATTTATTTATTTGATTTATACCCCGCCCATCTGGCTTATAAGACCACTCTAGGCAGCTTCCAATATAGTGTAAACAATAGAGTACTTAAGGGTAACAGCTGTTTTTTAAACAGCATTGATTTTGAACCAGTATATCCTATAAAATGGACACACTTTTCATGGAAGTGTCATTATAAGTACATCACTTTTTTTGAAACGTTATATCATTTCTTGCTGTAGAATCCTTCATTGCTTGATGCTTATCACATATGCTAGTAAAATTTCCTGTAGCTCCCCAAAGATGCAGAGAGTTTTAAGATGGCAGTATATTTAAAAGGCTCAGCAGGAAATTAATGTTTAAAAAATATTGTCAAACAAACTTAAAACCAGTTTGGCACTTTTGAATGGTAAAGTAGTATATTTATGTGTTTAAAAATAGTAATATGTACCTATCTCATAGTCCTAAATAGCAATTCTCCCTACATGGAAATGCATAAGTTGGCCATCTGTTAATTATTTGTATAAGAATGAAGAGAAGTAGCAAGAATAAAACATCTATTTTACCCAATGTTTGTTCATCTTAAATTATTCTTCCTGGATAGTTTTGGAAGAGCCTGAAAAGGCAAGGAAATGTGGGACTTGGGATCTTAGAATAAGGTCTGTGTTGTGGGAAAATGGCTCATTCCGGTCAGATTTTTACCCAACAACAAAGGTAGGGAGCATCTGCTGCTTCTTCGTGATCTCTGTGAATGCACACTAATGGGTTAACATGTGCCTGCGCAGAGTGATCTCGAAACCTTCTAGAGCTCAGGCACTTGGTGCTGGGACCTCCCACACGCTGCCTATAACCCCACCCCGGCACCAAGTGCCTCAGTTCCATTTCTGTAGCAGCATCTCAAAGCTTTCTCGTAGCGTTCTTTCCTTTTCCTCATTTTACTGCTTTGACCTCCCGATTTCTATGATTTTGGAGTGTTGACGATTCGTTTGGTTTGTGAATTTGGCAAAGAAATCATATAACTAGCTTGTCTTTTTGTTTGGCGCTGGGGCTTGTTTATGGCCTCGTCGGGCCCCTTTAAGCATTGCTCCTCTTGTCCGAATAAAGTTCCCCTTTCAGATGGGCATTCCTGGTGTTTATTTTGTCTAGGAGAGGAGTACCAGCCAGCATTGTGTGCTGTTTGTAAAGGATTTACCAAACCGGCTTTAAAACAGAGTCACCAGTGTTTGTGTTCGTTTTTATAGCGAAAATCTCTGTGCCCGTGCCGAGAGCCGGTCATGGAGCTGCCACAATCTACTCCGGTCGAGACTTTGTCGGCTCCAGCCTCTTTGCCCAAATAGGCTTTAAAATCTGCAGGTGTCATCCTCAGGCTCGAAGTTAGTGGCCTCAGCTTCAGTGCCAAAAAAGAAGAGGAAGTTGCCCCAGAAGCCCTCAGGCGCACTGCCTGTTGCCTTGCTGTCTCCGCCACTTTGGCCCTGACCGCAAAGAGGCTCTTTGGGCCCGAGCATGCCATTGGGAGATGAAAATATGTCGGGCTTCACATCTCTGCACCTTGTCCCTTTCCCCAGATTGGGCGGACACCTCTGCGGAGGTTCAGTTGGTGGCGCAAATCAGCCCTGGCTCTATACTTGGCACGATGTTGAGACAGACATCTCCATCTCCGCCTACATCTCTAGCCGAGATGCCTAAGAAGAAGATGCAAAAGATGAGGCACCTGGAACCAGCGCCTGAGCCGAAGAGATACCGCCATCAGCATCTCTGTCCGGAGGACTTCTCCTCTCGTCGAGACTGCCCCAGATCTCACTGGGATAACTATGAGAATTTCTTTGAGCCCAAAGAATTCGGGCTTGGTCAGCATCGGTATCGGGCACCTTATAACCGTGACTTCTACAGGTTTCATCAGTGGTCCCAATATTATGGCTGCTATTCTCCTCCACCGTCTTCTCCTTGATATCAACGGCATCCAGGCATCTACTTCTATCCAGAGGACGAGCCTGTATGCGAACCTTTCCTGAGGGCTCACGTGCCTGCAATGGATGAGCCCTCTCTTCCCATCCTGACAACTCGGTCTCGCTTGGTGCCGGCACCTACACAGCGCCCTCCTGCGGACTCGATTCCAGCTACCCCTTTGCCTGGGGTCGAGGACAACATTTTACCTGACTGCTCCCTTTTGAGAACCTCAGCCCCAATAGTTTACTCCATCTCCAGGCCCAGAGGAGGCTTATACAACTGACTAGGAAGCTTCAGTTGATGAGTTAGATAAAGATTCTCCTTTTAATCTTCCCACACCAGGTAGCGGAGAGCCACCCACCTTCTCCCTCAGAGGATTACACAGCTTAATCGCACCTGATACGCAGGATTGCGAAGGGAATGGACCTCAGTAGATCAGCCTGTTGTAGAAGAGGTAGTATGAGGACATTACAAAAGATCAGTCCCCTTCTCTTCGCATAGCATTTATTTCTTCCTTACTCAAGCTTCCTAAAGAACCTCGGGACGAGCCTTCTGCCTCTTATCAGATACCTAGGAGGGTAGAGAACTTGTACAAAACACATGGCTCTGGCACAGAATTCCTATCTAAGCATCCCTTGCCTAATTCATTTGTAATGGATGCTACACAAAATAGAGCGAGGAACTGGTCGGCCACAACCCCTAACAATAAGGAGGGCTGGAAATTGGACATCCTTGGTAGACGGATTTATTCCTTGGCATCCTTTGTGCTATGGGTGGCTAATTATTCTGCGGTGATGAGTGCTTACCATCACCACCTCTGGAATACTGCTTTGTCAGCCTTGCAGGCTGCTCCAGTGGAACTTCGCTCGGCCACCCCTACCTGCCATCAGAAAGCCATGTCCCTAGCTCGGCAGGAAAGGATTGCCGCATGACATATAGTAGATGGCACGTCCAAGCATGGTAAGTCAGCAATATCTCTTCAACGACATGTCTGGTTGAGATTGGCTGGTATCTCTGAGGATGCTCATGCCAGAATTGAGAACCTCCCATTTGATGGACTTTGTCTTTTTGACGGAAAGACCAATGAAATTTTAGATAACCTCCTGAATTTACGCAAAATGGCCAGGTCATATTCCAATCAACAGAGTAGGCCATGAAACTCTTGGCGTCGTTCTTTCCCTTACCGGCCTTATCTTGACCATCAGAGACCACAAAATTCAACTTATTCGTTCAGGTCCGTTTCGTCAGCAGACTGGCACACAGCAGCCTTGCCAGCAGGCACGCTGTTCTATCTGTAGGCCTAAGCAGAACCTTTAACTCTGTAGGCGCACCAGCAACATCTCACTTTTCAGTTTGTTTGGCACCCTTCCTTTCTGCCTGGCAATCCATCACTTCTGATGCCTGGGGTTTGGCCATTATAGCTCATGGCTATGCTATTGAATTTGATTCTTTACCGGCTACAGGGTTGTTCAGGAACACCATTCCCTCACCCCCTCTAGAAAAGGGGTAGCCGCTCTTCTTCAGAAGGATGCCATTGTTCGGGTTCACAACCCTGTTTTTGCACTTAGTTTCTTTTCCCATTATTTCCTCATACCAAAGAAAGATGGCGGACTTTGGCCCATTTTGGACCTCCGCCCCTTTAATTCGTATATCACACCCCGAAAATTCAGGATGTTTTCCCTCGATAGCACCGTCCAGATGTTTAGACACGGAGAGTGGTTTGCAGTCATAGACTTGAAGGATGCTTATTTTCACATCTCCATTTGGTCTGACCTTTGGCGTTTTTTGATATTTTCTCTAAACGGGGTGATCTAAAAGTTCAAAGCCCTCCCCTTTGGGGTATCCATGGCACCGCGGGCATTCATGAAGTGTTTAGCCCCAGTGGTAGCTTACCTTCGTTTGCACAGTATCACTGTTTTTCCATATCTTGATGATTGGTTGCTGGTGGCACCAACACAGGCCCAGTTGAACACAGACATGTCGTTCACACTGTCCCTCTTATCTGCTCTGGGACTTCAGGTGAACTCCGGCAAGTCAACTCTGCAGCCCGCTCAGAGGGTTTCATACATCGGTGCAGTTCTGGATGCCTCTGTGGGCAGGGCCTTTCTTCCAGAGGACCGTATATTGAAGATCATGCAGATGGTGGCTCTCTTCCTCCTGGACGCCAGAGTCTCTGTGCTACAAGTACAACATTTACTAGGGCTAATAGTGTCGATTACAGCGGTGCTCCGGCACACCAGATTGAAGATGCGGTCATTACAGGTGTGGTTTCTGTCACTTCGTGACCCCTTGTTGGACCTGCCATCTAAGCTCCTATCAGTCACTGTTGAGCTCGCAGCGCAGCTGTCCTGGTGGAGCTTCCGCCCGAATTTGCTAATATGCAGATCTTTTGGTCCTTTGGCTCCAGATGTCCAACTAAATACAGATGCAAGCCCCTCTGGCTGGGGAGCTGACTTGGGACATCTAACGGTGCAAGGCCCTTGGTCACCGATAGAGCAGCCGTTACATATCAACCACCGGAACTGTTGGCTATCTACAAGGCATTCTGTGCATTCGAAAGACTTCTCCTAGGCAGAGTAGTTCAGGTGGCATCAGACTACACCACAGCAGTGTTTTACCTCAACAAACAAGGCAGCACACACTCACTCCATCTTCTTTACTTAACAGTCCAGGTGTGGGAGTGGTGTTACACCCACCACATCTATCCCATGGCGGTTCATGTGGCCTTGGAGGACAGTGTGCTAGCAGATCAACTGAGCAGGCTTCAAGTATGCACCCACAAGTGGGCTCTGGACAAGGAGGTATTCCTGTCCCTCTACTGTAGATGGAGCGTGCCCCAAGCGGACGTCTTTGCTTCTCCGACCAACACAAAATGCCTCCACTACTGTTCAAGGGTGGGAGTCGGCCACTGCTCATTGGGAGGCATGTTCATGATCTCGTGGGTGTACAAACTTCTGTACATGTTTCACCTATACCACTGGTACAGAAGACCATTCTCAGGATATGCCAGCAAAGAGCAGATGTCATTCTGATTGTCCCTTGGTGGCCACGTCAGTCGTGGTTCTCAACCCTACATGGGCATGCTGTAGACCATGTACGTCTTCCTCCGCTCCCGCACCTCTCCCTGCACAACGGCACGACATTTCACCCAGACCTACAATCTCTGCACCTCACAGCCTGGAGACTGCTCCCACAGTAGCCGACGTCCTTGGACAGGCACAATGCCGTTCCACAACCCTCACGTATTTGTGCAAGTGGAAAACTTTTTCGGTATTTGCCTCTACACATGGCTTTCTGGTTCTACCTACCTTACTTGATGCAATGCTGCAATTCCTCCTCCTCCTTTTCCATCGCAGCCTCTCGCACTGTACCCTGAGGGTTTACGTGGCTGCAATGCAATTCCTCCTCCTCCTCCTTTTCCATCACAGCCTCTCGCACTCTACCCTGAGGGTTTACGTGGCTGCAGTAGTTGGCTCATCAGCCACCTTCAGAGGTGGTGGGCTTTTCCCGACATCCAATGCTCAAGCGTTTTTTGTGCGGGTTGAAAAATCTGCACCCCCCTTACATGTCCCCCACTCCTCAATGGTCCCTCCAGCTAGTCCTTAACAAACTCATGAGACCTCCTTTTGAACCACTAGCCTCTGCTTCGGACAAATTACTCTCACTAAAAACTGAGTTTCTTCTGGCTGTAACCTCTGCGAAGTGGACTAGTGAGCTTGCTGCCCTGCGAGTCGACCCACCCTTCCTCCAATTTCACCCAGATAAGGTGACCCTATTTCCCAACCTTTCTTTCCTTCCTAAGGTGGCCTCGAGTTTTCATCTAAACCAGCCAATAATATTGCCGACTTTCTTTCTGTCTCCTGCCTCTAGCCTAGAATGGGCTCTCCACCCTCTGGACGTTAAGAGAGCCCTTGCTTACTATGTCTAGCTCGGCTGCCTTCTGCTGGTCCCAGCGTTTGTTTGTCTTCTTCCATGGACAATCGAGGGGTTCTCCGGTCTCTCCACAGACAATTTCTCAGTGGATAGTTTCCACAATGCACCTTGCTTATGATTTAGCCAAGACTCCCCTACCATGTACTGTACGAGCCCATTCCACCAGGGCTGTGGCTTCCTCTATGGCCTTCCTCAAAGGGGTGGACTTGACAGACATCTGCAAAGCAGCCATGTGGGCCACGCCATCCACATTTACAGCTCACTATCGCTTGGCCATCCGAGCTAAAGCCGAGGCTGCTGTCGGCTGTGCTGTCCTGGCATCTGTTCTTTCGTGATGTCCTGCCACCTGATAGGTAAGCTTGTTAGTGTGCATTCACAGAGACCACGAAGAAGAAAGAGAGGTTACTTACCTGTAAGTGGTCAGCTGTGAATTCACACTTCCCGCCCTTCCTCCCCGCTAGCCGTCGCGTGTGCCTCCTGGCATGCTGCGCAGCGACGGGCAGTTCTGCGGAACTGAGGCACTCGGTGCCGGGGCGGGGTTATAGGCAGCATGGGAGAGGTCCTGGCACCATGTGCCTGAGCTCTAGAAGGTTCCAAGATCACTCTGCACAGGTGCGAGTTAGCCCATTAGTGTGAATTCACAGATGACCACTTGAAGAACCAGAGTTACAGGTAAGTAACCTCTCTACCTTTCTCTCAGAAGAAGAGCCAGCCTTCAAGGCCAGTTCAGGCTGCCTGGCCTGGTATAGCATTATCTATAGAAGTGGCTTCAGCTGGGTATTGAGGGGCGGGGTGAGAAGCTGCCTTTGTCTTTGAAGCTTTAGAGAAGAACTGAGTGTGGTTAGCTCCCAGTGTGGAAGAGTCTGGGATTGGGACTGATGTTTATAAGGAGCTCAAAAGTTGGCTTTGGTTACTCCTAGGAGATGTTATGCTCATTAATTGTCGTGTCATGCCATTCCAGTGGAACTGTACTGTGCATAGCCTCTGAAGCTATGCCCTATGCTGATAGTGGATAATGGATTTTTAAAAATCAACTTTCTTATTTCTTGTGTGACTACCTATCTTTTTCAAGCCTTTCTCAAATTGCCTTTTGACTTTTTTGAAATTTTATTTGCTGCTTGTCTTTTTTACTTTTGTTTAATCAATATGAATTTTTTCCACAAATAGTCCTGGTTACTGAGTTGAAATTTCTGGTACTAAATCCACCCTTGCCCTTAACTACCTATAGGGAAAATGTGGCTTTAAAGTTTGTGTGCTGGCAGTCCTACCTTACAGGGCTGGTGTGCCAAGCAAAGAGCACAGCTTTGTGGATTTTTAGTTCCTGGGGAAAACAGCCAAGTCAGAGCTGGACCAGTGTGCTACAAGTATGAGTTTCAGGCAAGTTTGGAGCCAAAAGTACAGTTTGTCCTCCTGGGTCTTGTACATAGGAAACAAAGGGATACCATGCTGGCGGAAGACTTTTTTAAATATTTATTTTAAAAGGTAGATAAATTGCTGTGCTTTTTAACAAGTTCATTTTGTTCTATTCCAGACTAATATTTACTCGGAAGGGTATTTTAAGAGTGGAGGGATTTTTGAACCCTCAGCAGAGTGATTCTGATGCTATGAGCTTGTGGATCCCATCATCATCCCCAGCAGAGGGCATTGATTTGGAGACTTCCAAATACATCCTGGCCAATGTTGGGGATCAGTTCTGTCAACTTGTTATGTCTGAAAAGGAGGCAATGATGATGGTGGAACCACACCGTAAGTTGCTATTTTCTCTTTAACTTGTGTATCTAATGCAGTGAAACTTGAATCATCTGATGAAAAGTTTGCTTAAGCCATTCTTTAGTATTACTGTTGTTTCTTTGCAGATGCTTAATAGTTTAATGGTGCCCTTATAGGATTTAGAGTAAAGCATTTCCTCTTTCTTTCAAATTAATTTTGAGCAGTCTTTGAACACTGGATACTTTCATGCATTGTTTTTCAGATACTGTGTCACCTTTCTGTGTTACATACAGAAGTGTCATGAAGGGCATTTTTTAACATATTATAGGAAAATACCCAAAACACAAAGCATGCACAATAAAATAAATCCCAGTTAACTGATGTATTAAAGGACAGGGTTTCTTAATGCAGGGTTACTATTATATGACACAATGTAACAAGATAACAAGATAGAAGTAATTGCCCGAAGATTTTGTGTGAAAGTTGACAGAAAGAACATGTGGTTAATGAGGTGCAAAGCCATGTTGTTTGTGGTACCACACCCTTAGATTTTAGTAGTGCAGTGGCAGTAGAAAATAGTAAAACTCTTTCTTTCCTCTCCTGTAAGCATGCTTCGAAGGAAGAACAGTTTGTCTTAAAAACAAGGGTGTGGGAAACAGGGGAGTTGTTCTCACAAATTGAATGGTAGCAAATGCAGCAGTTTTTACATGTAAACCATTTTAAGGCAGATGGCACTTCCTGGAGGATTTTGGCAGTGCAATCCATCATAAAAATAAGGATTATGGTCCTTACCTGCCTTGTTTACAGAATAAAAAGTCGAGGGCAGTCTCACTCCCTTTGTTCACAAGAAACAAGGCCTGCTGAGTTTTTTTTTTTAAGTGAAGAGATGAGATGCAGCGCCTGAGCTGGGCGCTCCAGCAGAGCCTCTCACCACCTCTGTTCTGTTGTGTTTGCATTATGGGACCTTTTAAAAAATAGTAGCAAAATCCTTTTTTTGCTACCAGATTGGATTCAGGTTTAATCACAATTTGAGTAATCCTACTGAATGATTAACTTAAATCCCATGTTTCTGTGCACTAAATGTGGTCAAATGTGGAACTAATCCAAGTTCCTCAAAGACTAGACTCCTACTACCCCCTATCCTTAGTCTCAGAGAGACACCTGCTTCAAGTTTTGCTATGTTTGATTAAATTCCTAAGTTTCAATAAGGTGGTTATTAGAGATGGAGGTATTTGTATTTGTAGATGAATATCCTCACACAGCTGGGGCTAGACTGTCAACTCATGTGTGCAGCAGCGGCATCATTCCAGTCACTCTCTTCCCACTTGGCTGGCCACTCGAAAGCCGTGCAGGGAAACTCCTCCTACGTTCCCCTGCCTGGAGTGGCTAGCTGAGCAGGAAGAGAGCAGGGCTCCAGGAGTGATTGGAAGGATGAACGAGGCTGCCGCCGGCAGATGAGTAAGTGGACAGTCCGGCCCCAACAGCCAGACCCTCATTAAGTCGAGCTGCGCTGGGATATTCGTATACAAAATACCCCCATCTCTTATGATCATGTATTGGCCGGAATCTTGTTGGTATCTGTTTAAGAATTGTGTACTAGGCATGGGACTTTTGGAATTTTTTCATTACAAAGAATGTGCCAAGAATTCCACCAGCTATAATACTGGAAGCTTTAGCCAAGAAACAGAAGTCCTTAGAAGAGTTTCAAGTATACATAATGGCCTTGACAACTTTCTTCCTGAAGCAGTAGCTATTAAGCATGAAGAAGAAAGACATAGATGGAGCTTTTAAAGCTCAATTGGAATTATAAGGCATTAGGGGCCGGTAGTTTTTTGAGAGATTCATGAACATAGAAACTAATACCGGCCCCTAATACCTTGCAGTTCCCATAGAGTTTTTGTTGCTTCTAACCTTTTCTTTCTTCTGCATACTTAATGAACATAATCACAAAGAGAAACCTGCCAAAGGACATGTGTGTATTCTGAAACTCCTCTGAGGACTTTTTTTTTTAAAACTAAAGCTAACAGAATACTAGCTGGAGGAATTCCTAGTAACTACAGTGAAAAAAAATCCCAAAGTCCCATGCCTATTGTATACCTTGCCATGGCTAATTAACAAAGTGGTGGAGCCTGCTTCAGTTGTGAGCTTGATTGTGTAACTAGATGCATCTTGCCACATAGCAAGTTAGTTGCAAGAGGTTATATACCCTAACCACACCTAAAAGATTCCGGCCATAATTTACTATGACATGCATATTTGAATTTTTATTTTGTTCTGTTTTAATTGTAGAAAAAGTGGCCTGGAAGAGAGCAGTACGGGGAGTTAGGGAGATGTGTGATGTATGTGAAACAACGCTATTCAATATTCATTGGGTTTGTCGCAAATGTGGCTTTGGGGTATGTCTAGACTGTTACCGACTTCGAAAGAACCGTCCACGCAGTGGTGAGTACTTGGTTGTGAACTACTACTTCTGAAAAGTTTAGATAGGTATTTTACATTTAGAGAGGTGTCTCATGACACTGTGACTTCAGGAATGGACAGAAGATAGATTTTAATCTACTGGTAGATCTTCAGGTGATTTGCAGTAGTTCACTAAGGGTTATTGATGTCCACTTGTTCAACAACAAAGGGTTTTATTTTCCTTCTAAACTACATTGCTGAGATGCAAGAAAGCTCGGGTTGGTTGGATATTTGTGTGACTGGTATGTGAACTCCATTTAGTCTTGCAAACAAATTTCTGGATTGAGTGTGGGCTTGGGTTCCCTATTTCTTAATTCTTAGCATGTGCTCAACTCTCTGTGCTACTGTTTTGCAACTGCAACTAGTTAGTAAACCTCAGCCTTCTGGTTAAAAATAGTAATAAAATAGATCCCACAACCATGGAGCGTGCCTACCACAGGGTTAATAGACTGCTTTGGTTTATCATTATAGGGGAATGCTATAGGTTGAGAACATTAACCTAATTTACTGTTTCATCTTTGATTTCATCAGGCAGCATTAGAAGTTGGAATCTTCTTTCTGTGTTGAACCTAACCAGTTTACCGTGGGCATGTCTATCAGTCTCTTGCACTCATACTCTCCTTGGAGAGAATTCAAAAGGGAAAATAACGTCTTAGCAAATTATCAGAAGGCCTCACAAGTTGTCTTCTCTTGCATACACACCTTACCATAGCAAGGGGGAAAGTTTGAGTGTGTCACAGAAGCTGAGAATCAGAATGCTAGTCTCCATGAAAAATTTGGATTCCTGGCAAGGTCACCCAGGGTGGAATGGCCATCATTGGGACAGTATATAATGATGTATTCACCCTCTTCAGAATTAGTAGTCCCATCTGCAGACGAGAACAGGCAGTTCCTATGGAGCTGGGGATGACGAGACTTTGGGAGGGTAGCTACTAGGGAGCAGCAGTAGTGGAAGGTGACATTGGTAGAGGATCCCTCACAGGCAGTGGCAGTGACAGTCAAGCTAGCATTTTTAGTACTGTTGAGAAGAAGGCAGTGATAAAACACTGCTCTTATTTTGAAAGCCCTGCGATGAGACAGTCCAAAATGAATGAGAAGGTGCTATAAGGTGAGGTTCCCAGGTCCATCAGCTATTTGGGAAGAGAAGAGCAAAGGAGAGACACAGATAGCACTGTCACTAATGAAGCAACTAGATTAAAGCTGAAAGGATGTCTAGTGGCCAGTATCTTTAGAGCAGGCTTGTCCAACCTGCGGCCCAAGGGCCGCATGCGGCCCAGGTCAGCTCGTAATGCGGCCCAGTGCAATTTTTTATTTTTAATGAAATTCCAAAGTTTCAAGTTACACTGCCGGCACTTGCGGCCAGAATGTGGCCAGGGCATGTCACAACAGTAGAGGGGGAGAGAGGGAAGGAAGGAGGGGGAGGGGAGGGGACAGGGGGGGCGTGACTGCATTGCACTGTCCCCGTCAATAGGTGGACCCCCTCCCGGCCCCATAAAGCCACTGGAGTCGAAGCTGGCAGCCTCTGCTGTCTGAGATTGCCGCTGCCGGTAAGCGTGCTTGGAGCGGGGCTGCGGAGGATGGCTAGGGCTGCCCCCCCCATGCGGCCCAAACCAAATTTTCATCTTCTAATGTGGCCCAGGGAAGGTGAAAGGTTGGACACCCCTGCTTTAGAGGTAATGCTGCATGACTTGTACAGTTGGAACATGGAATGTGAGAAGTATGAATCAAAGTAAATTGGAAACTGTAAAGCAAGAAATTTAATGTTTAAACACTGTAGTACTTGGTGTGAGTGAACTAAATGGACTGGAACAGGACATTTTCATTCAGACAGTTACAAAATATTATGCTCTGGAAATGACAAACCCAGAAGAAATGGTGTGGCTCTAATACTGAGGCAAGATGTGGCATAGGTAGTAAGGGGATATAGTGCAATATATGACTGAATAATATAAAGCAAACTTTAAAAAAATCTCTCAGCATAACCATCATTGAAGTCTGTGCTCTCACTACAGATGCTGAAAAAGAAGTTGAAAAGTTTTATGCAAGAATCCAGGAGTAAATTGGTTACAAACCAAAACCAGATGTGCTGATAATGATAGATGACCAGAACATAGAAATAAGAAACAAAATAAAATAAAATATTGTTGGAGAATTTGGGGAAGGGGTCAGAAACAAAGCAGAATAACATAGAATTCCTTGAAGCTAGCAGTCTGTTCTAAATACAGTGGTGCCCCGCTTGACAATTACCTCTTTGCGATTGCAAAACTATGCTTTAATAGGGAAAAACTGCTTTACGACGTTCGATTCCCTACTTCGGGAACCGATTTTTTGCTTAATGGCGATCTTTACAGCTGATTGTCAGGTTTTCAAAATGGCCACCTGCTGTGCAATATGGCTCCCCGCTGTGTTTTAGGACAGATTTCTCGCATTACAGGCACCGGAAAATGGCCACCCTATGGAGGATCTTTGCTGGACGCTGAGGTATTTCGCCCATTGGAACACAATGAACCGGTTTTCAATGCATTTCAATGGGCTTTTTCATTTTGCTTGACAAGGATTTCGTTATACAGCGATTCTTCTTCGTGGTCTCTGTGAAATCACACTAATGGGTGAATCTGCGCTTGCGCAGAAGGCCTCGGAACATTCTAGAGCTTAAAGTAACACTTTTGGCTCCGCCCCCAGGACCTCATGGTCCACCCGCCCTAACAGCCACTCAGTTCCATTTTTTCCGCTGCTGCAGTTAGGTCTCTTAGCTAAAGCTCTGTGAAATAGTGGAAAGATCTGGAAGATTCTTAGATTTGGCTCCGTTTTTCATTCATCCAAGGGAAGTACTTTACTTTATCTTATTATTAGGGGAGTTTTGGACTTTGTTTGAGGGTTTTCCCTCTCTCCCCTACCCTTCCCCCCTTATTTTTCTGAGACTGTTTTTCCCGCCTTTTTTCTTTTATGGCCTCCAAGGCACCTTCTTCACCTAAAGTTACTTTTAAAAGCTGTGCCGCCTGTTCTAAGAAGATCCCATCTACAGACGGCCATCGTTATTGTTTATTTTGCCTTGGGGAGTCACACGTCCCCCAGGCCTGCCGCCATTGTGAGAGGTTCACTCGGCAGGGCCTGAGACCTAGAGAGCAACGTCTCTGTGAAGCACTTTGGGAAAAATCCCTAAGCGCACCAACTATGGAGACAGCTTCTACAGCTGCAGATTCGGGCCCTTTACCCGGCCCTAAGGCCAGGGGCAATAGTAAGCCGGCTGCGTCTACGAAGAAGGCTTCCAAAAAATCCAAGCCTCCTAAAAGTCAGGCCGCTGCCGCCATTTCTCCTCCGCCCTCCCCTGCGGCTACGCCTCAACTCCAACCGTCGCCCTCCTTGCCTGCTCTTACTCCTCAATCTCCCATTGAAATTCTGTCGCAGGCTTCGTCGCCACCATCCTCCCCAGCCTCATTACCGCCGCCAGCCGATACGCCGGATATACCCCTCTTCCCATCTCCCCAAAGGAAGAGGAAAGCTAAAACGAGGCATTTGGAAACAGCCTCTGGAGATTCCTGGTCTCCGAGCCCCTCGGGACCGAAGGTCTCCCCCCACGGGGCTGGACATGTTCGCCCCGAGAAAGCAAAGAGGCACGGGACTATGGATGAGAGTGCTGCTCCACTCAAACTCTCTAAGAGTTACCTAAAGCGATAGCAGAAACAGATGCAAAAGCTTTATGACCCACGGCTTCTATACAGTCTGGCTGCGAAGAGTTCCTCGTCAGACTCTTCTTCTTCATCGGATTCTTCCGATTTCTCGGTATCGTCGGTACCGTCACTCCGCGATACCGAAAGAGAAGGACACCGGCACGCCCCGTCGGTACCGTCATTTCCTGATACCGGGAGGAAAAGGCTTCGGCCGGTACCGGAAGAGCCCTCGTCCCTAAAGAAGCCCAGGCCACGGGCTACTACCTCTGACCGGACACGCCCTCCAGTCCTGATACCGAGCGGTATCCCGCGCCGTACGGCACCCGGTACCGACATCGGTACCGCACCATCCGGTACCAACGCTGCGCCCCCGAAACGCAAGCGTCCTCACGATCCGGTACCGTCTAAGCCACGCAAGAAGAAACGACGCCACGCTTCTTCTGACTCTGACTCCTTTCAGTTGGATTTCTTCGATACCGACACCTACCCCGATACCGGACATGGTACCGGGCACGGTACCGATACCGGACCGAAGGACAAGAAACGCCCCAAGAAAAAGGGCAAAGAGATACCGGCCCCCGTTTTTCCCATGCCGGAACTCCCATTCCCCCCATCCCTACCTTCTGACCATCCCGACGATTCATCATCGGAAGACTCATTTTCGGATGCATCTGCTCCTAATGATAATACCCCGGACTCTGCCATTATCGATAAGAACCCAGTTTCTCCGGCAGCCGATTTTCCAAGCTATTCCCAATTGATACATAGAATAGCCTCCGCCTTGGAGCTTCCTGTCGAGAGGCCGCCAGAAATTGTCCCCGACAAGGTTTATGGCGACATAGATGAGGATCAGAACCTGCCCATGCGTCTAGCGTTCATTCCGTCACTACTAAGAACCCTAAAACAGCCTTGGGACAAACCCTGTTCTACCCCCCAAATGTCCAGACGGGTGGAAAATTTGCACCGGATTCAGGGATCTGAACTGGACTTCCTTGTAAAGCATCCCGCCCCTAATTCCCTGATCGTGGACGTCGCCCAGTCTAAGTTCCGGCCTGCATCAGCCGCATCCCCGAATAACAAGGATGGGAGGAAAATGGACATATTTGGCCGACGTTCATATGCCTTTTCATCTCTAATTGTGAGGGCTGCTAATTATGTGGCCGCCATGGCGGCATACCACCAGCACTTATGGGACTTAGCCTTACCATCTTTACAAGCTGCACCTGAAGAGCTGCAACCTAGGGGTCTCTCTCTTCATCAGGAGGCCTCACAACTCATTCGTCAGGAAAGGGTCACGGTCCGTCATATTTT